TTTTGATTCCCTTAGTGCAAAAAACTAAAACAAGGAAATCTAAAGTAATTGAAAAAGTTTATTATTTGAATATTTCTAACAAAAATATTAATATATATATTATAATATGACATATGCAAGAGGCCAATTTGTTCTACTTGCTCAAAAAAAAATCCTGATTGGTTTAACCATTTTGAGCCATAGGTAGTACTTACATTTTTTTTAAATTGTCCGTAATAGTTGCGGCTTAAATGTGTGTAAATAAATACGCAATAAAATCAGTTTTAAATTATGATAAATTCGTTAAATGATAATAAATGATATGTTTTCATTATAAATATAAGAAAGTTGTTCTATTCTTCAAATCTTCAATAAAAGGGTCATTTTGACCCATAGGTAGTACTTATATTTTTTTTATTTGTCCGGCTTAAATGTTGTAAATAAATACGCAATAATTAAGAATTATATTAATAATTAGAAATAAACACTGAAAATGTTTAAAATTATTTGTAATAATTATATAAATTAAGCAAAGAAAAAATATTATTCGATGTTATGGATATAAAGGCTGTCACAAAAAGAACGGACATTTTAATTTTTTCCCTGTTTAAGTTAAGTTATGGAAAAGTACGTGATCGAACAATGCATAGAAAGTTAAAATTTCATTTAAAATAGTAAGCATTTCGCAAATTTTTACCCGATTGGATCTTACTTCTTTAAAAATGTGGTTTCAACAAGACGGTGCAACATATCGCCGAAGCGAGGTGATATGAATTGGCCGCCATCTTCAGGATAAAATGTACATTAATAAACCATAAACCATTGAAGATGAAATTTGACGTAACATTGCCAGAATTTCCCAGCAACTATGACAACAATTTTAAAGAAAATTTCAACAAAAGAGTGAACATGTGCTGCCAAGACAGAGGCGATCTACTTTCTAAGAAAGCAAATATATTAACAATTATCAAAAACTAAATGAGTTTTATTAAAAATTTAATATATCAGTTCATTTTTGGGACATCCTTTATGAGAACAATAATAGAAACACAGGAACTTCTATTTAATAAAAAAATATTATTTTTCAATAATTGTAAGAAAATTTACAAAATGATTACTAAACATAATTAACTTTATTCTTAATTTTTAATTTAATTAACTAAAACTTTTAAAATAAGTATTTAAATTATATTCATTTGTCTTTATTAAGCAATCAAAACCAATTGACAAAATGAAAAGAAATTTTGAGTTTTGAGTATCACAAAATATTTCTACAAAATGGAAGCATATTTCAACGAGACCCTTAAGAGTTTAATTTAAATTGATACCGTAACAGAGGGGGACGATTTTCATTTTCTTCTTTTTTTTTTGAAGAACAATTTCTTTTGAAACTTGACTACTCTCCTTTTTCTAATTTAATTTTTCAATTAATTACTTTACGCTCAACATTCTTTCAGTCATTAGATAGGGGATGATGAGGGAAACGAAAGTTTTCTTCTTAAAAACTTTACATTCTTTTATATTGGATTTCAATTAAGACCTTTCAGTTAATTATTTCATTTTAAATACATTTATTTACTTGTCTTTTATCATTTCTTATTCTAGTTTTAACTTTATTTTTAAATATTTATTAGTTCAATATAAGAAATGGTAAACTCAAATGATTTTTCAGTCAGTGTTTATTTTTATTTTCTAGATTTCAGTAAAAAAAATTACAGAAAATTACATCAAATTTTTGTCCCAATTTGAAATTACGTAGACTGAAAAAGAATATTAAAATTATTACAAATTTCATAATAGTTTTAAACATTTTTAGTGTTTATTTTCGATGTTTATCTAATTATTAATATAAGTCTTAATTATTGTACATTTATTTACAATATTTAACCCGCAACTACTATGAACAATCAAAATGACCCGTTTATTAAAGATTTCAAGAATAGAACAAATTATATATTTTTGCAATAAAAACATCAATTCTTATGATTTAATGTATTTAACATCGTTTTATTGTGCAAACAAGTCTGGAATTTTTTTTGAGCAAGTAGACCAAATTGATCTTTTATATGTTGTTGTTTTCTTGTCTCTTGCTTGAACAAAAAAAAAACACAAAATTATATTTGCACATATAGATAAAGTGGGGCGACTAATAGCCGAATGGTTAAGTCGACAGTTCGAATCCTGGTCAAAGCCAGGCCCTTTTGTGAGCCCTCTCAGTGCTTGCAGTAATAGGGCCAACGTTCATCACATATGGACAGTGAAATGAATAAGGTTCATCATATGGACCTTCACCCTTCATCCAAGTCGATGGACAATGACAGTGTTAAGGATAGCAGCAGATTCATAGTAAAAAAAAATAGTGGTATCGGAAAGTAACATCAATATACTACTGAAGTTAACCTAAAAGACGAGAGAAAACCAACAAATTAAAAATTTAAGCAATGGTAAACTATCCACCGGAAAAGATTACCTACCTAATATCAATCGCGATCTTAAATTTACTCAATGTTCAAATTGACGAACAGATTGTAAATAAAATTAGACGACATAAAAAAAATATAGATAAAGTAATATAAAATTTCTCAAATTACAGCGTCAAAATGAATTTAATTGCTGCTAAAATCAGCTTGCAATAATATAAATTGCAATGCACGTCAATTTGAACTCGAATTTTTAGTCGATTCTTTACATTTTTTGTTTCATTCAAAGTTTCAAAAGAAAAGAATCAGCAAAAAATAGACCATTGACTTCACTTCTTTGTGTATTTCAAATGTAGTAAATAAACCAGCTTCCTCCGTAGACGCATCACCTGTCCTGGTTGTGATATTAACAAAAAGTAAATATTGGTTGCAACATTGTTAATTATTTAATTTTAGTTTTTTTTTTGTAAAATCAACAAATTTTAACTAAACTTAGTTTAAACCATTAAAAAGATTAGTACGTACTAATAAATTAATATTATTTAAATATTTTGTATTTATGTTTCATGGAGAAAAAACGTGAAAAGATTTATTTTCAATTTTATAGATTACGAATATGGAAAATGAGACAACGTACATGGGATACATGAGAAATCAGTTCAACAATTTTTACTATTCAGGAGAATTTGTGGATACAAGGTTAATAAAGAATCAGTACAACTTGATTCAAGAGGAACAGCAAGATTTGGTAAAAGAATTCATAAATTTACCGAAAATGAAGGGCGCAACGAAACCGGCTTTGTTGCACCTCCACAAACTGATATTTGACTTAGATTTTGAACTGCGTATGACAAAACAGTTCAGTTTAAATTGGCAGATGATGATAATGCACGTAGCTTGTATCAAATTGGATAAAGCGACAAGGGATGCCTGGCATTCGCATTCAGGTGTGACCATAGATATTCATGATCTGCTTCAATTTATCAGAGGTCGTGCGTCGAGCCCCGACCTTGTTAATGACGGAATTTAATTGTGTGGTAATGTGTAGTTTTTTTTTTGTTTTCTTGTGTTTTAAATATTTCTTTTGACATTTTCATTTTTTTTATTACATTTTATTAATTATTTTTAATGACTAAAGTATTTGTAACTAATTTTTGTAATTAATTATTTAAATATTAAATAACCAATGATATTGAATCAATTTTTGTAATATTCTTATTTTTCATTAACAGTTTAAGCAGTTTTTCGTAATTTAAAAAAAATAATTTGGAAATCATAACTGAAGATTTATTATGTGTTTTATCTTTTATAATTATATGTATAATTTTTATATAATTGATGCCAATAGTTTTATGTAATATTTAGTTATGTACACAATAAATTTGACTATTATTGTCCACAAATATATATTTTTTTGTAATTTAAAAAAACCTAATTTCTTCTAAAAGTTTAAGTAAAATCATATCAGAGAAATATTCCGTATCAAATTAAAATTAATTTAAATTGCTTGATGTCACTTTGTATATACAATAATTTTGTTACAAAATTTGTAATTTTGTGTACAAAAAAATTGACTGTTCTTGTCATAAAATGATTTTTTTCTATAATTTAGTGGTAAAATAAATGTAAAAGTCTATTTAATGAATGATCTTATCACATTGAGTATAAAAAATATTACTAATTATTTTCGTTTGCATTCTTAACTAATTTTGAGTAAATACTGCAAAATAAATGAAAAATTACGTATTTCATCAATATTTACAAATTGAAACTTCTAGATTACTGATGATAAAAATGTATATTATGTATGTAATAAATTTGACTATTCTTGTCGCAAAATGTATTTTTTTTTGTAAATTAGTAGTAATAAAAAAAGATTACTAAATACTATTATTTGCATTCTTAACTAATACTGAGTAAATACTGAAACTTTTAAGCAATTTCATCAATATTCACAAATAGAAACTCCTAGATTTTTGATGATGAAAATGTATATTATAAATTTAACTATTTTTATGGTAAAATGTATTATTTTTTTGTAATTTAGTAGTAAAATAACTGTAAAAGTCTATTTAATAAAGATCTTGTTACATTGAAATTAAAAAAATATTTCTATTTAATGTCATTTACGGCGACTTATATCCGTATGGTTAAGTCGCCGTACCACGATCGAATCGACGACAGTTCGAATCCTGGTGAAGCCAGGCCCTTTGTGAGCCCTTTCGATGCTTGTAGAAATAGGGCCATCGTTCGTCACAGAGGGACAATGAAATGAATGAGTTTCAGCATATGTACCTTCAGCCAAGTCGATGGACAATGATAGTGTTAAGGATAGTAGCAGATTCACAGTAAAAGGAAATAGTGGAATTGCAGAGCATCAATATACTACTGAAGTTAACATACAAGACGACAGCAACCTACAAATCAAAATCTAATCATCATAACGGATTTCACGACACAAAAAAATCTAAAAGTCTATTTTATATATGATCTTGTTACATTGAGTATAAAAAAGATTACTAAATACTGTCATTTGCATTCTTAACCAATTTTGAGTAAATATTGAAATATTTACATAATGTTCATCAATATTTACAAATTGAAACTCCTAGATTATTCATGATAACAATTTATATTATTACATAATAAACTTGACTATTCTTATGGTAAAATGAAGTTTTTTTTTTGATAAATTAGTAGTAATATAAATGTAAAAATCTATTTTATGAATGATCTTGTCAAATTGAGTATAACAAATGTTACTAATTATTGTCTTTTGTATAATTATCTAAACTAAAATGAAAGTTTTACGTAATTTTCATAAATATTTACAAATTGAAACTCCTAGATTTTTTATGATAAACATTTATATTAGATTATTTTTCGTTTTCTTTTACATTTTAAAGCTTCTTATTATTTTTTATGGTAAAACGTGGATCGTGCAACAAAGTACTGAAATAATATTTTTTTTAATCGGAAACTCTATAAAATAAATTGTATGTAGAAAATTGATATAGCAAAGTTTGAGAAAATGAAGCGGACTTTACGACGCATACATAAAACCGGAACTATCAATAGACGTGGTAATAAATATACATGTACATAAAACATCGAGTGAATTTTTCATAGAGACACAAAAAAATAGATTAATGTTATTAAAAAAAATGCCATTAAAATTACACTTTACAAGATCTTCGCGCCAATATTTTCAAATATTCTATTAAAGTTCAATTAAATTGAAATTGCATTGAAAAACTTATTCATAATATTGAGACGAAATTTAAATAAACTCACATGTAAATTTAACGTAAAAAAATTACAAAGTTTTATTTTAAACTTAATAAAAATACAATTGATGTATAAAATTATAATTTAATGCAAATTAATGATTGTTTTTTCTAAATCTATTGAATTTACAAAAAATAAAACTATTAAAAACAGAAAATAGATATAAATATAAATTATAAATGTTTTATTAAACAAAATCTACATGTAAATAAATATTATTATGCATATTTGTGTATATTATTTTAATAAATAATCATTATAAATAGAAAAAAACATGTTTTTTTAAGTCATAATTTATATTTATTACTTGTTAATCTTTCTTTTAAAATGGGTATAAATCTTTGAATATTTGAAATTACTAAAAAAAAACATAAACATTTTGGATATAAAAAAATGAGAATGACAAAACAAAACGTTTTTGTCTAATCAAACAATCAAGTTAATTTCATAAATTGTGATTTCGAAGAAAGAATGCATATATAAAAAAAATGAACAAAAGACAAGAAGATTGGGCCTATGTCGAACGCAAACACACCTACGTCTCTATTCTGTGACGTTGAATGTCGCGCGAATTTTATTCGAAAGACGTGAGGAGGAATAAATAGACAGAAAGAAAAACGATTGTGGAGAAGACGAAAAAAAGAGAAATAATGGAATAGGAATGAACAGAAAGGAAAAGCATCTGGCAAATTGAATACTGAACTATGGAAATGCGTGCGTGCGAAATTTTTGGTGGAAAAATCAATTACGGCGTAAATCGAAAAGGTAGACGACGTCAGGAAAAGAACGCTACAGAAGCGGACGGATTTAGGTTTAGGTTGCAAGACTAATTTCAAGTCAACACTACGATGCAAATTGGTATCACGCAATAATCTGCATATATTGCGTGTGTTGCTATGGTGATTATAATCCGGCTGGGAATTTACTGTGCCAGAGTATCGTTGGCTAATTGGAAAATTGAACTGAAAGCCTACGGTCTCATGACAACTTATGGCAATAATATTCAATTCGCGGTTATTTTTTGTTTGTTTCAAATTTCGTAACTGGATAAACTGTATATTTTTTTTATCAATTCCAAAATCAAGGTGTGTATTATGTATCAAACTTTATTGCATATATTTTACAAAAATATAAAATTATGTATACAAAAATAACGAGTGACACATAAGGAGTGACGATGAGAAGAGTCCTTGCGTACAAATATTATAAGTATTTTTGAATATGTTTCACTATACGAGTAAAAATCCGGAAATTATTTTAATTCATTAGACGACATAAAGTATTTTTTTTATTAAATCCATAATCAAATTATTATAATTTTAAATAATTATTTAATGATAGTCTTTTAAAACTCGATAAAATAGAAGAAAATTGTCATAACAAATTGTCTAAATGTTCATCAAACATTTATCCAGTAGTAATTAATAAAAATCATAAGAAAATATTCATGCATTTGGAGGAACCAAACCAAAAGAATCCAAATATAAAGACATTTATAAACCTTGATTTCAGCTTTGTGAAACAAATACTGATTGAAGATTTTTTCACCAGTCAAATATTCAGACAAATAAACATTGATCTTAAACACATAAAAATAAAACTCTTTATAGTATTATTACATTTGCTGTGAAGAATAGAAAGCAGATTGTAGCAATCCAATCTGCTTTCTTTACTACAAATGAGGTAAGAAGTGATAACGTCCCTATAAAAGTTGAACACTAGAACTCATCTATTCATCAACAACATAGACGTATAGTATCAATAAATTTTAAAAAAAGCAATTATGTTTTCCAGGTTTTCACTGAACATTATTTGTGAAACCCTGATCTAAAAGCTGCAAACCATTCACCATGATCAATGGAGAATACAACAAACTTCTACTAATAACTTCTTATATAATTACGTTTACAGAAACAGTCATCACTTGTCATATTACTACTCACATGTCAGTAGTAATTTGACAAGTGTTGACAGTCCACCAACCACAAACTAACTCTTAAATCTTTGAATAAAAAATGTAAGTTTTTGGAATATTTACAACATATTTATAATTGAATAAACAAATAAGAAAGTTATAATTACAAAAAGTGCGAAATATTTGTTAAAGAGGATGTGAATCTATAAATGTCATGAGTTTGTATAACTTCGTAAATATTCAAAAAGATTTTAACTTGCCACGTAACAAAGCGTTACGCAATTAATTTTTAGCATTAATGCTAATTATTTATCAGTTAATATTAGAAAAAATTACTTATTTATGTATCTAATTCTTAAGCAAGTAAAGAGTTCAGTTTTTGTTTTAATGCTAAAATTTGATAATAAGAGTAAAGCAAACTTTTGTTAATCTGGAAGCTTGTAGTTAACTATAAAATTTAGGGTTGCATGAAATAAAATTTATTTTTTTTATCTTACAGAACCAACGCCAAAAAAACAAGGTAATTAGAACAAAGAGAAATTAAGTGAGGATACAGCAGCACCCAAGATAATAATGAAAAAGACTAATAGATTGGATTATGCTCGTGTTAGCAGTGGATGGGGATGATGTCCTCTCATCTCCAGAATAAGTGAATGCAATTCATCTTGAAGTGAGCCATTAATCCTTGCAGCATTTAAATCGAATTAACTACATCTGCTTCTCTCTCATTCTATATACATTCCTCACATTCTATTTGTCTTTACACTCTCTCCCTGTATTTCTATCTTTATTCCTCTTTATCTTTCTATTTCTTCAATCTACAGCTCCAACATAAACTGTTCCCCAATTCGAAGCACAAGGACAAACGCCGCAAATAAAACTTTAGCTAATTCAC